CTTCCGCCAAATCTGACTGGCCTAAAGTGTGGGTGGATGCAACATTAAGTACTTAATAGCCCAATTATGTACCTACCTATCTCGACCTAGCAAAAGTTCAAAGGGTGACAACAACACGGTTCCCAAGGGATACGCAAAAACGGGCTATGACAAAGGAGTCTCATTACTTCGCGCGATCATCTAGGTTAAAAATATACTGATAAGTAGTACAAGTATGCTGGTGTACGGTAGAGTAGCCTGCTTTTATGTAACACGTCTCTGCTTCACATTTTCGTCGTCGTCATCCATCATCATAATCGAACAGACGCTGACACTTAGCTAGGCTGTCTCGAACTTGCAGGTATTTAGAATTAGCGAAGTCCATTATCTTAACTTCGGCATACATAATGAAGCGCATCACATGACTGTTATTACTACCGAGCAAGTTTTCATATTTTAATAAGCACAATGTACCTAAATAACCTACAATCTATTAAGAAACAATAAGTGAAATGACAGTCAATACAAAAGCTGCAGGTAGCTGTGAAAAACAGTCTAATCACGTATGCTTCTATACAGGCGGTACCATACCAACTGACTTGTCTTTTATTACCTACCTACTTATGTAAACATTTTATAATTAAGTACAACTAAATGTCGCCGATACTGATATGAATGAATGATGAACTAATAATAATAAATAACGTATGCATAAATAAATCTACTACCTACCTATACCCACTATACGTTTATTATAAGGCGCGCGTGCGCCTGATGAAGAGGAAACCAAAAGTATGTAACCATTTTGTAATGATCTTATTGATGTCAAACGCGATTATTGTTTGTTGTAGATAAACCATCTTCTTTGATCAACTGAAAGTAAAGTGACTGCATGTTCATAATATTATACTCTATAACGCCTGTAGCACAACTCCGCCGCGAAACCATGACAGCGAAACGATTTCAATATACATCTCTGCAATCATATCCCCACATTAGCAACGTGACGAAGTAAACGCGCAGTTTTATATTGAAATCGTTTCGCTGTCATGGTTTCGCGGCGGAGGTGTGCTACAGGCGTAAGTGACTGGTAATTTTGAAGAAGGTAGGTAGGTAATTTTACTTAGGGCTGATTTTTCAATCGTCAGATATCTTTTAACTGCAGAATAAACTTGTCATTTTTACATATTTCCCATACTGAAACTGTCAATGTGCCAAACTTATTCTTCAGTTAAAAGTTATCCGACCATTGAAAAATCAGCCCTTAGAAGTATTTCAATAGGTGCACGACGAACGAAAGCAAAACCTCTCGTGAGAAAAGCTCTAAATAGGCAAGTAGGAAGCACTTTTGAATATTAGCAGCGAATATACGAGTAATTACGAGCACCGAAGTGTGAAAAAAGTTGTCTGTCTCCATGCACACACACGTTTTAAAAAAAAACTTGGATAGCTAAATCCAAAATATTTTCTAGAATTATAGCGAAAAGTACTCACCTAATAGGTAAAAGGAAAAAATATGTTAAAAAGATATTGTTAATACGTTGACCCACTTCCTTCCTGCCCCAACCCATGACTTCCGGTTCATGAGAGTCCTCGATGTTATTGCGGCGACATAACGCAACTTTATAGTCTTTAATGCCCATGAAGTCCTCTGTACTACCCTACTTCGCTCTGTACCTTGGTACTATTACTTATTCTGTTTTGGAACGCATTGTAGCACAATAAATACCTACGATAAACAATTAGTCAGATCATAGGTATCGTTTTCCTTTTAATCAGCGCATCTGCGCTGCATTGTTGCAGTGCAGACTTAAGCATGTAGGCTTTCTCTATCAGTCTGCCATTGGTCATATTATTGCTTCTTGCTTCCTTTAGTGTGGTGATGTACCTACACTAATGATGTTTCTTTACACTTTACGACGCCTACAGTAGGTACACCCTGTAAAATATGACTTGCTTGAATAACAATAATGAAACTCATGCATAATTTATTACGTATACCACGAGTAAGCTAAGTACATATTTAAACTTTTTTACCTAATATCTATGTACCTACATGGTTTTGACGTGTTTTGTTTATGTAGTTACTCTCGAAGTCTCGAAATACGTTATTTTTATATTCGTGTTTTTGAAATCTAAAACTTACGTAATAGATGCGCTGAATTGATATAGGTACCTACTCGTAATGTTTGTGATGCTACGTCGCCGTCTGCCGACATTGTGGATGGCATCCACTGGATGCTTCTCCATCTCCAGTATACTACGTATAACCACGGTTGAAGGTATTAGGTACATAGCACATACCAGTTTTAAAACTAGATAGATGACAAGAAATGTTCTTTTGCTGTGAAACCGTGTCTTGGAGTAATCAACACTATTCTACTAGTTATGTTCAATATTTTTTTAATGAGATGTGTGTTACTGTGTTTAAAAGATTATCCAAAACATTGAAGTACTTATGTATAGGTAAGTAAGTAGTTCATCTATTAGTTAAATAAAAAAACTTTTAACTGCTAAGGTTCATTTATTTAAATACATTTTCTTACATACAAATCTTATGTCTAAATCATATAGTTGAGGCACCTGGTTTTCTTTACTAACAGGATTATGAAAATAACTATCTTTAGTACATTTACTCTTATCAGGACAAATGCAATTTAGATTTTCATTCTGATTATTTTTGACATCTACTTTGCTAGTGTAATGAGAAAAAGGATCTCTTATAGTATTTATGCTGTCTATATTTCTTGACAATGTTAAATTTGAACTGGGGTATATCAAAAAAGCAAATAATGTAAGAGCTACAAGAAATTGAATTGGGATTGCAGTAGACCAGTACCTTTGGGGATAGTAATAAATATTAAAATAGTGTAAGACAAAATCAGGTGTAAATGCCCAGACACAGTAAATTCCAAGTGCAGTTTTGCTAAATAAATACATAAAAAATCCATACAAAGATCTTGCATGTGTTGGGGCTGGAGTGTGTTCTGGCATCTTGGTACTTTAAACTTCAAACTGGTTTATAGTCTTCACAACCAATAAAATGTTTTTTATCATGGAATTCACAGCAACTCTTAATTTCTTGAGATCTCCACCTTTGAAATCACTGGAAGAAAATAAAATAAACATAAAATACCTATGTTACACTTATATCTTTTATTATAAATGAAGATATGACAAAATATTGATAATTCTATTTTAATTCAATAATAATATTGAATTTACCAACAACACATCATGTTAAACCTAGTTTTTTTTTTAATACTAACATGTGTAATGTGTCCTGGTCAGATGTGATTGTTCGGCTAACACCACTTCCTTTTAGTTCTTTATCAACATTTAGCACTTCTTGCACCAAATTTGCAGTTTCACTGGATGAAAATGGAATAGTCAAGCTCCTGTAAAGAAAAATATTGAGTTACAATTAGCTACTTGTAAACATTTTAATTTAAATGCCACCACCATGCCATGCCGTACCATGGTGTTGGAAGAACCAAACTAACATGAAAGTTGCATTATATAATTTAAAAGATACGAACTGATATGAATTAATACTTACACGTTTGTTTCTCGAACGTCAATCATTATAGAAAATATTGTGTACTTAAAATTTTGTTACATGAAACGTAGGCATGAAACTAGTTTGTATTAAATTTCAAATTAAACCTTTATTATAAATATTTCAGCTTTTTACAAAGCTTTTAAATTATGTATAAATACCAAATTTTCAGTGAAATAATACCCAAGTTTTAGACAACTATGAAAAATTGTGAAACACCAAAATCTCAAAATAAAAAACAACTCGCCGAGCGAGCCACCCTTTTTTGACAGATCAGACAGATGCTGCTGCGTTCCGAAACTTGTCAACTGTCAACGCGTTCCGAAACCGGTTATAATCCATTTTTGGCGACCCGAACTGATAGTCGTTTTCCAATCGAACACGCAACGAAAGTTGAGGCGAACGGCACGTATGGTATAGTCGAGTTCATAAAAATATATTGGCAGTGGCATTTTTTCAAAATATTGTTAGCCTTTTAACGATCGTATATTTCAATACAAACTCAAACATTAACATGTTGCAGTAACGCAACACTGACTGCGGGCCGGCGGTAGTTGGAACTGTGGCCGATAGTACCTGCGCCATGACAGATTCAAAATAAATATTTAAATAAAGTCAGAATAAACAATTATTTTCTTTGTTCAAAATCTTTTTGCTTAGTCGCCTCAACTCTCGCTGCGCGACCAATGACTGACAGACAACTGCTTTCTATCTCGCTTATATAGTTCTGTGGGTCTAGACAAAGTGCAAATTATAATCGCAAACCAGACGGGGGGCTGCCCCCCTAGACAAAACGCACTTTTTGATCGAATCGAAAATCGAATCTGTCAAAACTCCATACAAAAAAGGGGCTTTTCGACCACTTTTCGACTGGTTTGCGATCATAATTTGCACTTTGTCTAGACCCACTGAAATACTGAACTGTCCTATCCATGACATTGACAGTGGGGCGCCACCATCAATACCGGATCGCTGGTTCCGATTTTTGCCATGTTGGAAACCATATGTATAGTTGAACGATGGTAGCGCCCCCCTGTCATTGAGTTTGGTGGGACAGTTCAGCGTGGGTCATCTATACACATATAGCAAGAGCTGTGAGCAAGAGCGAGAGATAACTGTGAATTAGTTCTGTGTACTTCGGTTATTATTAAATATAATAAAATAACAACAATTCATGTAAAAGATTTTATTAATATTTCAAACGCAATTTACTATGTACAAATTACTTTGTAAAAATATTCATTCTTGTCTTATTATTATTTACTGATTCAATTATTGTAGGCAACACTTACAAAACATAGTATAGATAAAAACAATCTTGAAAATTATTATGAAAAATATAGACATTTCATTATAAATTTATCCAATAAGTACATAGAAACATAATTCTGCACACGATTGGGATGCATATAATTTGAATAATTGCATAATTAGATCCGGATATAAATAATAATATAAAGAAATCAACAAGGAAGTCAATGGCATTTTTGATATAAAAAAAAAACAAAATTCATCATTACATTATTACAATAACAACATGGCGATAATGAATACTAATTAAAACTTAATAAAATCGATCAGCCTAATTTCATTGCGAAAATATTATATCGATAAGTAGGAGTTCACTGGATACATACAAAGAATGTATGATATACAGACACCTTCTAATCGATCGTTAAATATTATGTAGATTCCTAATTCGATATTACATCGTTACAAATTCAGTCACGGGAACGCGGATCGATCACAATCGCGCAGCGGGAGCGTCGAGAGCGCGGCTCGCTGCGGTAAACGGGTCGAACGATCGCATCGAGCGTCGCTCACCGAGGGATGCAGACGTGGCATAATCATTTCTATTCTACCGGCAGACTTCTTAAAACACGTATAATATAATATAGTTATACAAATATGTTATCGTAATAATAAAGACACGGCACCGCGAGTCGGGGAGGGGCGAGGAGGGGGGAGGGGGGTTCAGCGGCGCGGGCCCCAGGGCGCGGGCGAGGGCTGCGCGGCGGGCGGCGCGCGAGTGGCGCCGGGCATCGTGGGGAACTCGTGCGTGGACGCCGTGTCGGGCGCGCGCTGCTCCCACGGCCCGCCCTTCACCACGAAGCCGCTGGTGGGCCCGGCGCCCGCGGCCGCGTTGGCGCCGGCTCCGTTGTCCGTGTTCAACACGTCGCCGAAGTCGCCCAGCGATGGGCCGGCCGGTCGCTGGTATCGGTGGTCGGCCACGTCTTGCAACTGAAAATATTGTTACGTGTTAGTCAGCAATTTGACGTCTTGTTATGCCTCAGAGATAGGCTTATTAAACTTAGGTAGATATTGTACTTAGTAATTCTTGAGATTAAAGTTATCAGATGATCAACAAATCGGCTGTTACTTACAGTTAAAAATTATCAGATTGATAAATCGTTGATAAAATCTTATCAACCAATAAAAACAGTGAATGAGAATTAACGATAATTAATTAAGCCGCGCCCAAAAGCCTGTTCATCTCACAAAAAACTGCAGGGTTCAAAATATGCAATCTGAGACCGCCGCGCATACTGTGTAATAATGTATTTATACTTACATATTCTTCTGCCAAATTCAGAAGATGGTCTTTAGCATCGAGGACGTTATCCTCGTCGCCGGTGATGACGACGATGCTGTCGTCGCCTTGCCTGGCGTTCGAGTTCGGGAATCGGATGTCCACCTTGTAGTCGTCCATTATACGCCTGATGTTCTTGCCGCGGAGTCCGATTAATCGTCGGTGTACGCGAGGATCGATGTCTACCTCTTCGCGGTATTGGTTATCCTGATAATTACAAAATTACAGATTAATTTAACATTTTAATTTACACAAAACTCAATAAAATGTTAGGTTTACTTACAAGTTGGTGGACAATAGCCATGATAGCTTCCTTGGCCTGGATGGCCTTGTCCTCGTATCCCGTTATTGTGATGGTGTCGTCGTTCGCTTCTCCGCGCTTGGGAAGGTTTATTTGCACCCCATAGTCCGTGCGAATTTTCGTAATCACTGAACCGCCTTTCCCAATAACAAGGGGGTGGTACTCAGGATCTACTTTGAATGTCAGCTCAAATAACCTTAAAGAAAGAGCATACTTTTGTTATGTTAATGTTCACTTTACTAATATTACTAGTTTTCTATGTATGTTTAAAAAGGAAGGAAATATTACCTGAGTTCTCTATCTTTTTGCTCTTCCTCCAATTCAACAATCTTCTCAGTCAGTGCCTGTTTGGCTTTTTCAACATTAGTTGGAGTACCAGTGACCTGTAAATTTATGATGTATGAGATTTTTGTTCTATTTTTAGCAAAGAAATGACCATAATGAAATTACATTTACCTTGACCAGGTCGCTAGGAGGGTCATTGCTAGACGGCAGCAAGATATGGACATCGTAGGTCTGCATCAGTTCTCTCCTCCTTGGGCCAGAGAGTAGCTTGTGAAGGTGATTGGGGACTTCCACGTCAATGGTTATTGGCACCTACAACACACATTACAGTAAAGAAAACATAAAAACAGTTACAGGTAACAAAAAAACTAAATTAACGATAAACTGTCACTGTCAAAAGGGCGCGTAATCTAATCTAGCGCGTTGGTACCCGCTGAAAACCAGCTTCGTGACTTGACGACTTGTATCTTGTCACGATTTTTGCTGAGCGGGCGGGCGCCTTTTTAGCATGCCTCAATAAAGTTAAACATGTATGCACCTAAATTTTATATGCTGAATAAAGGAATTCTATTCTATACATACTTGTTCCAGCAAAGCCTTCTTAGCCGCCTCGCAGTTTTCAGGCCGCCCAGTTATTCTGATGATATCATTCACACCGGGCTCCGCGTTCTCATCCCCATTCTTAACGGGGATGTCGGCGGCTTCCGACGTGTCGCGCTCGGGGAACTTAATTTGTACATCGAACTCTGCCGTGATATCCTTCACTTTGGCACCGCGAGCACCCATCACGGTGCGGTGATGCCTTTGTGAAATCACGCATTCAATTGTCACCTGAAAACCATTACATAATATTAAAAATAATAAATAAATTATAAATAAAGAGCAATTCTTTTGGTAATAGGGATGTTTCCTGGGTAAAAAAGCAAGAGTTTTAATTAGTCCGTCAGTTAGCTTAACAAAAACTACTCGACGCCTATTTTTCACTTTTTAAAAATAATGAAAATGTACAGAGATAAAGCGTGCCAAAGTTCTAAAGAAAAGGCCCGTGACGTCAGTGAGTGCGTAAAAGTGCAGCACTTTATGACGTCGTAACTATTTGTTTGATTGACAATTAAAAATGTATGTGTCCAATATTATTTTATATTAAAAATTGACGGACTAAAAAAATTTTTTTAGGAAACTAAACTATTCTATAAATTGAGTTTAGTTTAGTTAACTTATGCGCTACTATGAGCTGTGGATATTTTAGCACGTTATCTAAAACAGCATTGAATGAATTCACGCTGCTTTTAATATCGCAATCCATACGCTAAAAGATTTAAGCCGATTATCCGAGTTTCGACATCGACGAATCGCCCCACCCACCATTATACCACCTACATATTAATTTGACATGTTTCTACAAACCTTGGCTTCCAAATCTTCGATAATTTCGTTGATGCGAGCCTTAGCGGCCTCGATGCAGTCCTTGGGTCCCTTCAGCACCACGCGGTCGCTATTGACGCCCTGGCGCGGGAAAGAGATCTGCACACCGCCGCAGTCGTCGGCGATACGTCGCAACACTTCGCCGCGACGCGCAACGAAGTGTCGGTGGTGACGTGCGGCCACCGACATCTCGCCTTCCGACACGTTGCTGATCTCGGCCACAGCTGCCTCGAGTTGCTTGCGAGCTGCCTCCACTTGCTCCTCGCGCCCTGGTACCAATGTTACGTTTTTGTTAGATTTATTTCAAACAAACCAGGTTCCAATTTTAGTATGACAGTTTGGTACATACAGGGGTCGATAAAGCTCAGATAACAGGCAGGCATTTTATGGGGATAAAATATTATGAAATTATTAAGCAGTAAAAAAATGTCTCACCAATAATGAAAATAGCTTCTTTGTCCTCGTCCTTCTCAGTCGGGAAGATTATACGAGCGCCAGTCTGCTCGCGAATCTTTTTAATATTAGCACCATTTTTGCCGATGAGGAACTTGTGGTGTTCGGGCTTGGCGCGCACGTGCGCCGTGTGTGACGTCAGCTCGCGCTCCGACGCGTGCGCCAGCAGCTGCTGCTTGGCTTTCTCTACATCCTCCACTGGCCCCTTGATCACCACCTTGTCGCTGTCGCTCTCCGCCGGCGGGAACTTTATAAGCACACCGCCGCACTCCTCCATTATGGAATGAATAAGTTTACCACCCGCACCGATCAACGAATTGTAATATTTAGGGGGAATCGTCACCTCCTCCGTTACGATATTCGCCTTCTCGTTGTGGATTTGCTGTATCCTCTTGACGGCCTCCTCCACGTTCTCGCGTTTGCCACGAACGGTGATGACGTCACTGTCGTCCCCTTCAGCCGGGAGATCTATCTGAGTTTGCGTCTCGTCACGAATTTTCCTCAGATTAGCGCCACCCTTGCCGATAATAAACTTATGGAATTGCTTGAAAATGGGCACCTCTTGAACGTATGACGATTCAGCGATTTCTTTCAATAGTTTGTGGAGGAACTTCTCACATTTCTCGATATCTTCCTGTGGACCTCTCAGTTTGATTGGGCTCCTCTTTTGGCCTTGATCAGGCAGGGAGATAAGAACGCGATCAAACTTTTCACGGATTTCCTTAATTTTCTCTCCTCTGACTCCAATGAGTGATTTAATGTATCTGTGATCGACATAAACTTCTTTCGTTCTTTCGTTTTCAAGCTTCATTACCATCTCCCTAAGTTCTCTTTCGGCATCGGCCACACCCTGGTGGCTACCCTCGATGCGAATTACGTTGTTATTTTCGTTTTCAATAATATTAATAACTACACCAGTCTCATCTTTCAGTCTGTTAACTATAAATAACGGAAATGTACATTAGATAAACCAGTTTCCATAAAAACATATCAACAATTAGACAGATGATTTTGAGAATACTTACTGTTCGATCCACTTTTGCCAATAATGTGTTTGAAGAATTTCGGGTCAACGGAGAGTTCAACATAAGTGAGAGTTGCAAGCAGGTTTTTAACAAAGTCATCAAGTTCCACTTGGGCACGCTCTACTTCTTCAGGGGGACCATCGATTTTTACTTTATCTTCAGAATGAGTAATGTCTACATGAACCTAAACAAAATAATACAAACTGTAATATTGCAAAACCATTTATAGCAAAAATGAGTTACAAGGTTTCACTATTTACCTTGGAGAAATCTTGGGTGAGCTTCTTAATGTTGGATCCATTCTTCCCAATGATGTATTTATGAATCCATGTTGGGGCATCAACAGTGGCAGTTTTAACAGAGTTCGCTTTTTCACATACCTTAGATAGAGCTGTAATATTTCGTTAATTTAATATGCTTCATTGAAATAATTTCAATTTCAATTAAATTCATCTGAGTAAATAAGTATGATTTATGTGATTATTTAAATGTACGTACCCAGGCCAATTTTGTTGTGGGGTCCATGAAGAGTTATAGTGCCAGTAGGGGAATCAGGTGGAGGCATTTCAACAGAGACACCAGTCTCTTTAAGAATCTCCTGAATTGTTGTGCCACGAGCACCAATAACATACTTATGCTGCGATTTGGGTACTTCTACCCGAACCGTTGAACATTTCTTGACCTAAAAAAATATTGATGGTTAATGAAATACTTAATACATTTAAGATACCTAATGTAATCTTGAAAAACATACCATGTCTTCATAGATCTGTTCAATTTGCGCCTTAGCTGCCAAAACTCCATTTTTCTCACCGGCGATAACAATTTCGTCACTTTGCGTGGACGCGGGAGGGATATGGATGCGAGCACCAGTTTCAGCACTGAGGGCTTGTGCACGCTCGCCATAAGGACCTTGGATGAAGGGGTGATAGGTTTTTGGAATGGTGATTCGCTCGAGAGCTTTACGAGACTGTAATAAAAATAAATAAATTTTAAAATAACTAAATATTAGTCAATATGTTATAAAAACAGTATAGAAGTACTTAAACATTGAGTTTTAAGATTTTATAAAATATCCAATGAAAATATAAATGTATAGAAACAATATTATTACCTGCTCTTCTGAACAGACCCTGATCTCGTGTTCAGCCTTTTCAATACCTTCCTTAGTCCCAGTGATAGTGATAGTTTCGCTATTGTCAGCAATCCCTGGCACACTAATTTTAGTTGCAGTGACTTTCTCCAGATCTTTCAGCTTTTGGCCTTGTTTTCCCAGAATCCAGCGATGATGTTCTTTAGGAATCGCAATTTGCTTACTAGCCTGCAAAAAAGTTACATAATAATAATATTGTGCTGGTAAGATTATCTAAAATATAACATCTTAGAAAAATAAAACTTACTTGTTGTTGGAAATGGGTCAAAATTTGACGCCGAGCTTCAAGAACGGCACTGTGCTTGCCGGTGATAAGGAACGTGAGGCTTCCGTCTTTGCTGGTAGAGATCTCAATGTGGGCACCAGTATCTTTAGTGATTGCCTGACATGTTCTCAGCGATTCACCCTCTCCAAAAGTGTTAGCATTGTCCAGCTTTCTTTCTTCGTATGGCACATGGAATACCTAGTAAAATTCAATAAAAATAATGTACTAAATGTATTATTTGCTTAAACAAATGTTTCATAATGTTTTTAGCATTCTCCTCAAAAGTTAAGATTTTGTAGACCCAATATGATCTTTAATTTTGGACAACAAAGCATTCAAAAGAAAAATGTTTAAAATGGAAAGAAACAAAATTAAAGAGGCATCAATATGTAGACAATTTTAAATTGATAAGTGCTGCTTTTGACAATCACATTACATTAAAATAAAACAAAAAAATCTTATCATAAAAACTTTATCAAACAGATTACGTAAGCGCGACTAATTAAGCCACGTGTTTTGTAGGGAAAAAGAAAAAGCACAGTTGCTACCAAAAAATGAGATTGTATGCTTACTTGAGTGTGCAAAGATGAGCCAACACGAAGTTTATTGGTGACCTGCTGGATGTTTCTCTGCACTGGCGGCTGCGAGTGCGGGAGCGCAGGAAACAGGTCGTCATAAGCGTACGACCCACTCGTGTCGTACCCAACGTTGTTCATTTCTTCGCCATGGACAGGTATTTCAGGGTGAACGGGTAACATATCTCCAACCATCATGGATTGCTGATGCATCATTTTAGTCTCCTCCAGCAGTCCTTGTCCGCGCCAAGTCGTTACAGTACTACACAATAAAAATTAAAATGAAACCACATTTCACTTACAAAATTTTATGTGGTAAATGTGCCATCTGTTTAACTGTTCAATTGAAGTCACATGTTTAAACAGTTGTTCGATGACTATTAAAATAATTCTTACTACATCTGGCAGTGAATTTTTACCTGAAGGTCAGTATGAAATAAAATCAAACACGATTAAAGCAATAGTATGTACAGTATACTGTATAAATGGTATCATATCATAAGTCTTCATGTGCTGTACAATCTGCAGTCACTAGCAAGTGCAATTAATGTATTTCATGGTAAGCACACTAGTGATTTCAAAAAAAAAAAAATAAGTAAAAATAATCTCAATCTAATTATTGTATAATAAACTATAATTACTAAAATGTATTTTTAATATAATATGGATTAGAAGTGTTCCACCTTTTTTAATAGGTTTTTATGAGTTAAAGTAATTCTAGCCTAAGTTATTAATTAATATGATTTTTATGTGCTCAACCAATTATCATGAATTTAAAGATATTCTAAGATAGTATGTAAATGATTTATCACATTTAAAAACATAATATTGTTCTTTTATAATGCTACAGTACAATTTAAATGATTTAACTACACAATTAGACAAGACATCAATACCAATACTCAATAATTTATTGCATTTCACAGTGTAGAGAAGATAGGAAGATTTTTACATTTACTAATGAACCATATTGTTAGTGATAAAAATATTTAATTTAGAAATGGATTGTTATTATTACTTTAAGATAAATAGTAATTAGGAGTGTTCTTGAATACAATAAATACATTAATAAATATGTAAGATAATGCTGGTTTTAGCTATAAGTATGAATGAACAGACTAGGCAAAAAATGATCCTTAGATGTTGTATTTTGATATCCATAATAAAGAAAAATATGCACCTCCTTCAGTCAACATAATTTTAACAAATACGCTTTGGATAGAGGTTAAACGACATCTAGATGAGGTGTACACTCAATTTACAGACAAAAATGTGAACAATCTGTAACTATACAATCATGATGATCAATACTTACAGTCAATGGCTAACAATAATACATTTACTAGGAAATTAATTCACCAAAAGTTTGTTAATAACTCTCAGAGTTCATGAATATTACTATTGAAATTTGTGATAATACGTGTCACCTTCCAACACATTTGACGTGGAAGTAGGCTTTTATAAAATTCAATACTCACCGTACGTACTGCAGCTAATCAACCTGAATGACTATCCTGAGGACGCCAGGGCCAGCTAGTCTTTCTCCTGCGTAAAATGTAATAAATGATTATCATGAAACAGTAACAAAAAAACAATAAATTAAAATTTTCTCCAGCTAAACACGTACCCAGTGCTGCCGCGAGGAGAAAGATGTCTTCCACAGATTATTTCTATTCTTAACACGATGACAGTAGGCAGTTGCCAACTATTCAATCGATTCAATCGGTATCGGTAATCACTAAAGGTTTCAACGCACTGCTTCAACAGAAATGAATTGTGTTGCCAGTTTATTGAAAAGAATTAAAAACAAAATTATTCGTTCAGTGGTTCACTCAGTCATTCATCATTCATTCAAGAAATCAAAATGTCTACCGAAATGCTTTTTGAGTAGCTGTATGAAAACATTTGATTTTTATGCATAATAATTACTAAAAACGAATACAAGGTACTCCATATTCATGAATAATGGACAAAATACCCAGGACTCACGAAGGTAAGGCCAAAGAATAGGTAAAAATGTTGACTTCTTGCTTTATTTGTATGCATGCGACGTGCATCAGCATTGACACTATTACAATCTGAAATTGATAAAAAAATGTGTTAATTTATCGTTTTGTACTATTTTTCTCATGCATATTCTGTCTAAACATAGTTTTCACAGGAATAATTCCATTTACTCTTCACGTATACATCCTTACTTTTAAAGTTGGGGTTACTTTTTCTTCATGAATTTTGTCCTATTATTTTATATTTTACTCACCAGCTATTGAAGCTCAAATAAGAGAAATTCAATCAAAGAAAAATGAACTACCAGAAAATGGATCCGGCAAGGGCGTGTCTCTTGGGGAGACTTATGATAGTGATATTTATGACGCCCAAGGAGGGAAATCAAGATATGATGGTTATGTGACTTCTATCGCTGCAAATGATGAGGTGGAAGATGAAGATGTTGAAAATGTCCCGATCACTCAAAAAAGATCTGGATACACTGCTCCAGCATCTATACTAAATGATATTGCTCAGGTATTGTTATTCATAGATTCTGTCTTGTGATTAGTCTAAATGTTTGAAATCGATCCAATCACTCAATTTATACTTAAAATAGAATCAAGTTTTGATATACATTCTGTAATATGCAATGAGTTGTTGATAATTTGTTAACATTGTGAAATTTTCCAGAGTGACAAAGATTATGATCCATTTGCGGACAAAAGAAGACCTACGATTGCTGATAGGGAAGATGAGTACCGTCAAAAGAGGCGTAGGATGATTATATCACCAGAACGTATTGATCCTTTTGCAGAAGGTATGTTTTGATAGAAGTTTAATTGGACACATATTTTAATTATTTTCTTGTAAGTACTTAGTCTATAAATCTCAATTTATATTAGTATGATGCACAAGATTATCACACTTATATCAATTTAATTGATTGCTTACAGTTAGAATGTTCTGAATACTTTTAAGAATAAAATTGCGTTAAATATTACATCACAATTAATTTTAAATTCCCCTAATTAACTTGTAATATCTGTGGTGGCAAATTCCTTGGTTGAATGTGTATAATTATGTCTATTGATTACATTGCTATTTTAAATTGTTCCAGGTGGAAAAACACCAGATGTAGGGTCTAGAACATATACAGAGATTATGAAAGAGCAATATCTCCGTGCTGAAGAAACTGAGGTAAGATAATACTTTATTATATTCAATATTTATTCTTATAATAATATTGTTAGTAATTTTTTCAATTTGAATATTATTGTTTACAGCTTAGAAAAAAACTATTAGAAAGAGCCAGAGAAGGTACTCTCAAACCTGTTGCTCAATCCAATGGAGAGGCCACAAAAGCTGCCGCCAAACGAAAAGGCCGTTGGGATCAGAGTACTGAGGATACCCCATCTGTCAAGAAAGCTCAAGTTTCAGCTACACCCAATTCACAGGCCACACCATCATGGGATACAGAGGTAAGAATTGATAGAGAAGTAGGAGATATTATGGGTGTTGTCGTCACTATAGGTCTCCGCTAAAACTCGCGTGGGCGCACGGATCGGGTGCTGTTCAATACTGAACGCACGTGCGATCTTAGGTGGAAGCCCTCCCATTAGGTCAGTTTTATTTATAAATCAGAAGTATATAATATATCACTAAGGCATGCAAATCACTAAGATAACACCTTCCTGATAAATCACTTGGCCAACTAGTGGGCGCCAATCAAGTTAAGGCGATTAGAGTCCTCAATCCGCGTCAAATGGGCATTTTGTAAAGCCTACTCCTCTTTTACTGCTGGACAGAAATAGTTGAAAAAAATATATGTTATACAACAGTTCAAGGACTACATTTGTGACGTTTGAATTTTCGCTACGTCTCTTTGTTTTGGATTAAAAAAATAAATACGGGACATCGATTTTTTACTTAAATTCCCTACTCCTCCAAAACGGCTATGTTAATTTAAAAGATTTTTGCACGAATAGATTAGGAATTCTTTAATCTTTAAATGACACGTTGCGTTTTTCAATCGAACATTACTTTCATTCATAAATTTTACTTTTGATAAATTCCGAACGTTTTGCTGTTGAGGGGGCCTTCGCGGGGTGCGGGCGGCAGTCGGCCGCTGGCCTTCAGACGGGGAGGTTGTGTCACTCGCTAATAGATTAGGAATTCTTTAATCTTTAAATGACACGTTGCGTTTTTCAATCGAACATTACTTTCATTCATAAATTTTACTTTTGATAAATTCCGAACGTTTTACTGTTGAGGGGGCCTTCGCGGGGTGCGGGCGGCAGTCGGCCGCTGGCCTTCAGACGGGCAGGTTGTGTCACTCGCTGCAAACTGACATTAGCGATCAAAATGAATTTTTTCTTTGGCTGAGTTGCACCACCTGACGTGACCTAACTTTGACCGTAGCTTTGGCGATAACCGGTGTTTTTTTGTATGGAGTTTGACAGATTTTTGACTTTTGTTAAATTTAAAATAAGATGTATATCATGATTGATATTTTCGGAGTCGGTGACAGCCTACCTTTTGGTGATTTTTTTTTTTTTTTTTTATCCACAACGAGGAAGCTCTTGACCTGTATCTCACCTGATGGTAAGTGACGATCAGGCCGAAGGTGGAAGCGAGCTTCACCCGGAATCCTCAACCACGGAGGAACTGGCTATCTTACCTCTCGTTCGTTTTGGAGTTGGTTTTAATTTTTGGTGAAAATTAATTTATTTCATGCCTTTAGTAGACTATAGGTACTCAATAGACCTTGTTGTTGCCACTGAAGGTGCATTAGGTACACAGTACATTGATACCATATTTTTTATGTTAAGTGCAAATAAACTTCCCTAAATTACCTAACCATGAAACGTACCTATAGGCTATAATAATTAAAAAGTTTCGTCGATAAAAACTGAAATCCTCTTATAAGATGATGAGTTTTGGGAGCATGTCATGAAATTAAAATTATTAGCATACAAAAACTTGTTTTAAAAAAAAGGTTTTTTCCTTCAATTTATTTTTTTATTTATGATGCGGAATTTGCTGCGGCGTAGTAGCAAAGATTTTTCGTTATGTAGCTCGTAATAATTTCGAAGAATAGGGATGTTTCCTGGGTAAAGCAAGAGTTTGAATTAGTCCGTCGGTCAACTTACCAAAAAAATACTTTAAATGTATTTTTCACTTTTTTAAACTTATAAAGCGCGCCAAAGTTCAGAAGAGGCCCATGACGTTAAGGCGTGCTTAAAATTGTTGCGATTTGTGACGTCACGCGGAATTTCATCGCATCATAACTTCGTAATTACTTGTTTGTTGACAAATAAAAATATCCCATGTCCAATATTTTTTGATAGTGTACGGCGTAGTAGCAAAGATTTTTCGTTATGTAGCTCGTAATAATTTCGAAGAATAGGGATGTTTCCTGGGTAAAGCAAGAGTTTGAATTAGTCCGTCGGTCAACTTACCAAAAAAATACTTTAAATGTATTTTTCACTTTTTTAAACTTATAAAGCGCGCCAAAGTTCAGAAGAGGCCCATGACGTTAAGGCGTGCTTAAAATTGTTGCGATTTGTGACGTCACGCGGAATTTCATCGCATCATAACTTCGTAATTACTTGTTTGTTGACAAATAAAAATATCCCATGTCCAATATTTTTTGATAGTGTAATTGACGGACTAAGTGTTTTTTTAAGAAACTAGCCTATTCCTACGGCCACATTCCAGCTCCATCATCAGACCCTGTTTGTCTTTGAGAATTGAAGTAGGTAGGTAGGTACTCGTGATTTTTAAAGTAGCTTACTTACATAATATTACTTACTTATATTTATATAAAAAAATAAATACAAATCAAACGAGCCTAAACTCGATGGAATTGTTTAATCCCGGAGTTGCTATGGGGCCACTGGCATTCCAGCTCTATCATCAGATCGACTCCATGTCATCACAATATTGCATTGTCATCCGAATACATGTATATCCAAAATTTTAACTCAATCAGCTGTTGAAGAATTTCTAATAAAAAGACGAGATTAAACACATTTTCAGTTTATTCTTCATAAGAAGAAACATTTGCTTTTTTAAACCATAGAAAATACTACTATGTGTTCCAATACCTACAGTTGTCGTCAAGAAGTTGGTCTAACAAATTCAGCTTGCAAGATTCCACCCGAAGTTACCTACATACATATTACATGTTCAAATTTCGAGAACGGCTGAACTGACAAAAACATTAGAAAATTTACGAAAAAATTTAATAAAATAAAAAAAAATATCCCGTACTAAATGTTCATGGATTGTGTTATTTTTATTAAATACCTTTACGCCTGAGCTAAATGACACCGACATCAAGGTTCATAAATTCAAGTTTAAAATAATAGGCAGTAATGTCATGAAAAAAGAGCTTCTATTCTGTATCTACCTATGCCCGTGTAATTTTGATCGGTTTCAAATCGGAAATTTCGTGCGGGGTGCGCGGGTGTTTCGCGCGGCGTGAAGGTCAAACGCCCAAGGTCATTGAGGACTCTAATCGCCTTAACAAATTAATTTTCGTCTAGTATTTTTTTTGTAGGTAACTGTAGAAGTGTAGATATAGATTATAAATACTTAAATAACATTTTTTTATATACACAGAGGGGAGCATGGGAAGAAACTCCTGGTGGTGGTGGGCGTGGTGGCGAAACACCTGGCGCCACGCCGTCCGCC